TTCTTCCCATTCACCACCCATACCGAAGAAACAAGAAATTGTTCAGGCACAAAAGGGTTGTTAGAGACACTGCTCCTCCATATTTAACTGGAGAACAAATCGAAGCGCAAATCGATTACTACTGTGCTCTGGAAACAGCTCCTCGTGGTGGGAATTGGCATGTTCCCAGTAATATGCCTGATTCTTATGGTGTTCAGCATAATTGGCACAAAAGAGTATATTTTGGGAATTGCCATATTGGAAAGATCTTCTTTTGCGCCACAACCTCAGTGTGATGCATATAGAGAAGAACTTTTTTGAGAACATCATGAACACTATATTGAATGTCCCAGGGAAGACGAAAGACAACGTAAAATCAAGGTTGGACTTACCCGATATCTGCTCAAGAAATGAGCTACATATACAAAGCAATGGGCAAGTTCCAGTTCCAATATTCAGACTGTCATCAGAAAAAAAGTCTGCGTTGTTCAACTGGGTGGCTTCAGAAGTGAAGTTTCCTGATGGGTATGTTTCAAATCTCTCAAGATGTGTTTAGAAAGGACAAAAGTTCTCCGGGATGAAGAGCCATGATTGTCATGTCTTCATGCAGCGACTACTTCCCTTTGTGTTTGCGGAGCTACTACCGGCAAAAATACATGAAGCACTTTCAGGTAATTAATTAATATAATACGATGATATGATTATGCATATATATATGTTTTAATTTTGTTTAATCACAAAATCAATTTGCATTTGGGATTTGAGGTTTATGTGTAGAAAAGGTTAGGAGTTTGGTTGTAGAAGAGGTTATAAGTTAAGGAAGTTGTGGTTTGGGGTTTGGGGTTTCGAGTTTAGGGATTTATAAACCCTTTCCTCGTAAAGCCCTAGTAATAGAAAACACGGGCATATCAATTTCCTCGTAATGGTCTAGTAAGGCTTCACTAGGGCTTTACGAGGAAAAAACGCAGGCATAGCTATTTCCTCGTAAAGGGGTTTCCTCGTAAAGCCCTAGTAGAGCCATTACGAGGACCTTACGAGGAAATAAAAACGCGGGCATAGCTATTTCCTCGTAAGGTCCTAGTAATGTTACTAGGGCTTTACGAGGAAACAAAATTCTTTATATATACGCGAGCAATCCGGTTTCTCATTTGCTAGTAACCTTCTCT